GTCCATTTGTCCGTTTGTCTGTTTGTGAACAGCTGTTCTTTTTACTTTGAGATCAGCAATTTTCCTTTTCTTTTATAGATCATTTAACTAAGGTTTATTTGCATTACAGAATTAAAAAACATGCTTCCACCTGGGTTCCAAGTTAGTCAAAATGATGCTAAAGTCAGTTGTGTAAATGTAATGTACATTGTTGCTTATCATTACTTGAAAGTCTCTCATTGTTCAAAAATATGTTAAAAGTTATGACTAGAGTTTTCTTAACAAAAAATTATTCTAAAAATGATTAAACATAAATTCCTTGGGGGTGGCATTGTTGGACAAGACTTCAACTAATGAATAAGAAAATGGCTACCTGGTAACATTTACCAGCTCTTGTTCATTGACTGGAGGCCCAAGTGATCTCCATAGCCTTAGGGGAGACACCCCAACTAAAGTTATATAAATATTACTGTAATATGTTCACACTGGTCATCATTAAAAGAAATACTGCAAAAGGTTTTTGATTTAAAAAGTGCCCATACAAAGTTTCATATGGTTATGACAAATGATTTTTAACCTCATGGTATATTCACGTATTCATGCTTCCAGATAAACAGGTCTTCAAACAAAATGTAAAATAGAGATTATTTATGGTGATAAAATTTTGGTTCAGATTCAGACCTCTGCCTTCAACAAGTGCTTATGAGATCTATATCCCACTAAATGTCAACAAGTTAGATAAAATCTTCACGTATTAGATAGGGATGACTGACGAAAAGGGAGAAATTCGATGTCAAAATGAAAATCAAGTGTCTTACAAAATGTCATCATTCATTCTATGCTACAATGTATATGTTTGATTTCTAATGTTCTAGGTAGAATATGTAGCTGTTTGTTAATACTCTACAGGTATTCGAACGTTAAAACAGCCAAGGTTGTTAAAAAATAATGGTTCTAGTTTATGTTGTAAGATGTTTAATATTTAGGTAAGATAATAATGCATCTAAGTACATTGTACTGCTATCAATCTTTTCTTCTGGATGTTCAACAACTGAGGTTTGGAGGCCAACAAACGGACAGACAGATGGGCTAAGAGGACACCCAATAGTTTGGGCCTAGCCCTCCAAAAAATGAGGACCCAGAATGTAAGAGAATCTCTGTTGCACCATCCTATACTTGGTCAGTCTCTGGTCTTCTGATCAAGAAGACTGTGAGACCATTGAGGAAAATGATGATCAGTGTGTAGTGTGCCTATGGAGGGTCACCAGGAGCAAAAATCTCCCAAACCTTCACAGAAAGCAACTTAGTCAAGCAATGGCTGTGACTCACCTGAATGACTGACACTGACAGAAGAACTAATAGATGCTATAGCTGGTTCCAAGGTATTCCTGAGGAGACCTAACTGACCTTGATAGATAACAAAAAATGATTGTTTTAAAAACAGGTCTCAACTGAACCTGGTCTTGAACATCCTGCAGAAAATATAGAACTACAAGAGGTATATAAAACAATGTTAAAGTAATATATTATAAAAGAAATTCAAATCACTAATAGCTTTTGACAATTGATAGCTGCACTGGTAGCTGACTACTGTCACAGATTAATGGAATCTTAATCTTTAGACTGCATTTAAAATAAAAAGATCTTCTACAGAGCTCTCCAACACAGCTCCCCCAGCTTCAACTGATCACCCATCTTGGGCAACAACAAAACAAAAAAGGGATATATAAGGAGCCATTGAAGCTGGGGATTCATCACATGTGTAGAGCCAGCCCAGAAAACACAGAGACCAAAACTTGTTCCAGCACCAAGAAGACAAGGGGCCCAGACCTGCCAGGCAAAGGGGTTGAAACTGACATTCCTTGAATACAAATACAGTGCAGTGATGCTGCACTGGTTGAGCAGTTCCTTTCCTTCCATGAGGAGGATAAGGGCTCCACTTGACCCCAGCTTTGTCTTTTCTTTATTTTTTATTCATCCTCTCACAGTCCTTAACCCAAGAACCTCAGGAGCCACACTGGGTCGTGGCAGAATCCTAAATAAAACTCACTTTCTTAATATGAAAAAATAAAAACAGTTGCTATAAACTATAATAGCATCAGAAAGAATAGGATACCAAGGAAAAAACAGGTGCTATAAAAACTATAAATATACCCAAAAGAACTAAAGAAAAATAAAGAACAAAAAAATATCACATATACATGGATTGTACTAGTTAATGTTATTAAGATGTCTATAGTACCCCCAAAGTGATCTATGGATGAATAAAACATTAATTCAAAACCAAATGGTAATTTTCCTTTTTGGAAAATAGAAAAATAGACCCTAAAATTCACATCAAGGGTCACTGAATAACTAAAATAGTCAAAATTGTACTGTAAGTGGCAATTGACTGTTGTATTTCTGGAAAGACAGACACATTGGTCAATAATGGAATACAGAGTCCAGAAATAAACTCTCAAATGTCTGGCCAATAATTTTCAACAAAGGGGACCAGGACTGAAAGGACTTTCTAATACATTAAAGCTAGGAAAGATGTCTACATGCAAAAGAACACAGCTGAAACTTGACTTCATATATAATAATTATTTCAAAATGGACCAAGATGGGAAGGAACCAAGATGGGCACACTTACAGTCCTAGCACTTAGGGTATCACTTTAACCCAAGATCAGCCACATGGGTCAACTGTGTCTTAACACAATTAGCAAAACCTAATCTTGAAAAAGTGAAACAAAACAGATAAAAGAATTGCACGTTAAAGCTAAAATTGTAGAACTCTTAGAAGACAATTGGAAAAAAGCTTTATGACATGTCCTTGTCAAGGATTTCTTCAAATGATGCAAAGGCAATAAAAAAAAAGCAAGCAAACAAGATTACTGTTGGGGAATGGTTGAAATTAGAGATCACTCACATGTGTGGGGCTAAACGCCAGTTCCACAAACATACAGCACTTGAGATGAGCCATGTAAACAAACTGTTCCAGCTCTGAGAACACAGAGCCAGAGGCACACCAAGCAAATAAGTTGCTACACAGAAGGGTGTCACGTGAATGTATACATAAACGTACTGAAATTATTGGGAAGTTCTTTTCTCACATCAGGAAACAGTGCTCCACTTGACCTTCGCTTTCTGAATTCTGACTCCTGTCTTTACTTTTTTTTTTTTTTAAATCGGTACCGGGGATCAAACTCACAACCACACGCTTGCAAGTCAGGCGCTTATGCCGCTGAGCTAAATCCCCAGCCACCTGTCTTTACTTTTTCATCCTCCAGCATCTGCTGCCCAGAAAGTCTGGGAGCTGTGCTAAACATGGCAGACTTTATTATTAAAACAAATTGTGTAGATAAAAGGATACTGTCAACTAAAAGGCAAACCACAGAAGGGAGTACACATTTGCAAATCAAACAGTTTTGATCCATAGCATATCTGATCAAACCCTACAGATAATTCCAAAAACTTGACAATAATAAACCAAATTTAAAAATAGGCAAGGGATTGGAATAGAAATTTTTCTGAAGACATAAAAAGGGCCAATAGCTCATCTCACTCAGTATCACAAATCAACAGAAAAAGCCAAATCTCACACTTAATGAGGCACTATCATACACCATCTGGATGGTAATTAACCACAATAAAATAACTGTGGACAAGATTACGGACAAAATGGAACTCCTTGTGCATCACAAGGTAACCCATGGTACAATGAAATAAAAAAGTACAATGAAATAAAATATAATTAAAAATAGAATTACAATGTGATCCACCAATTCCACTTTTGCATATGTTATACGGTCAAAGAAACAAAAACGGAACATGTAGAGGTATTTGTGCACCCATAGCCACAGTACCATTACTTACAACATTGTAAATGTAGAATCAATGCCAGCATGGATGATGGACAAATATCATACCATTACATCCGTGTGATGGAATATTAGCTTCAAACTGAAAGGACACAGAGCCCCACAATATAGGATCCTGAAAATACTATGCTAAGTGTCATGGTTTATGTTTATGCCCCCAGGCCTCATGAGTTTGCATTGTGCATTTGTGATGGTTCATTGTCTAGGGTTTGGCTTGATGGTGTCAGTGCTCCACCCACATAGGGGTGGAGCCAGGATGTGATGTAATGGCAGGAAGAAGGTGTGTCTTGCTCTTTGCTGGTTCCTGCTTGTTGTTTGCAGCCACCATGAACTGTGGCCCAGCCATGCCCGCCTACCTTGGAGCCAACTAAGTGTGGACTGAAACCTCCAAAAACCATAAGAAATAAACCTTTCTTTTCCCAACTTGGGTTTCAGGTATTTTGTCTCAGCAACGAGTAAAAACTAACTAAAACAGTAAGTATTTAAACAAGCCAGATGCATAAGAACCATTGTCTGCTTCCACTCATATAAGGTACTTAGGTCAAAAAGGTACAGAGATAAAAAGAATACTGTGAGGACTGCCAGGGGATAAAGGCAATCACTGTTTAATAGATTGTTTCAATTTTGCAAGAGGAAAAAAATTATGAATGGTGGTGACAGCGAATGTACTAAATGTACTAAATTCCACTAAAGTGTACACTTACAATGATGAAAGTGATAAACTTTGTTATACATTTTACCACACACACAAAAAGAACAAATGGCACCTTAGAGGAAGTCTTTCCAACAACAATCTGTATCAAACAGACAACATCAGTGACATTTTACAGCATAGTTGTGAATGGATAAATGTCAGGTATAGGAAGGGAGAAACACTTGGGTGCATGGACTTAGTTACCAGACTCGGCAAAGATAAGTTGGATGAGATCTCTTAGGCTCACTACAATACTACTGATCCTGAATCTGTACCTTGGGGCTCTGGAGCAGCAGGTACTGTAATGAGAGCACAACGGGCATGCACCAGGGCCACAGCACCTACCCAGAGAACTGAGGAAAGCGTAAGTGCCCATGATCCAGATCCCAAGACAAAACTGCTCCTAAGGATGAGAAAGGCAGAATCTAACACACAGGACAAGAATGGGCACACACAACTTACCCAGAGAAGACATTAGTGCCAAGTTCTCCAGCATCACCTCAAGGTACAGGTGCCTCTGGGCCTCATCAAGAAGATCCCACTCCTCCCAAGAGAAATACACAGCCACATCTTCAAAAGTGACACTAACCTGGCAAGATAGAAACTGATGAAACCACTGTTGCTCACAAAGACTCACAATCCTCATCCCATCCATCCACCCTTAAAACCCACTTCCTCCCAAGATCCCCAAATCTGAGGAGACACTATACTCTGCTGTCCTTAGTACCAGCTCTCTATGTTCATTCACTCCGTTTTCCATTCTGTAATCAGACAGAACCTTTCAACACCTGGTAAAAGATAACCTCTCTCCTCTAATCCCCAATTCTCACTGCCACCACAGTTGATGCCCAATTTCACAGGCACTCCTTCCAAGCCATCCTCCTGTCTCTTCTCCGGAGTTTAGAGCCAACCAAAAGGACCATAGTTCCCTAAAGGCTTCACCTCCAAAGAGTTCAGTATGCTGCTGTCTGCACAACTGCGAGAAGCTCTTTCTTTGGTGATCCTAAATGGCAGCTCCTTGGAGTACAAATACGGGTCCCTGACCCTGGTGACTCTCCAGTATCCAGTCACCAGATATCTGAAGAAAATGTGGGCGGTGGTCTGAAGCAGTGGGCGACTGACACACCCTCCACTTACCTGAGCAGATTTTAGCAACTCAGTAGCCATAGGAACTGCGGGAACAACCGGACTGAAGAGGCATGTGACTATGGGATGCTCCTTGAACCCATTGCTGCCCTGGAGCCAGGTAACTGGGCTCAAGTAGGCTCTCCAGTCCTGGACCTCGGTGCCCAGACTGACTTGCGTCAACTGTGTGGCCCCGAAAAGCACGCATATGACCCCATGTCACTGTTCCCACCCTCTCCTCCGCTGAGCGGCCCTCGGTGACTCTGTGACCCCTACTCAATCCCTGTCTCCGCGGCCCCAGGTCCCAGATCGAGGCGGCTGCTCCCCACTCTCCCGCAGCTGGGGTCCGCGCAGGGACCACGCGGGGCTAGGCCCCAGGTCTTCCCGGAGGGGAAGCTGGTCTCACCTGGGCTGGGCTGTTCGGCGCAGCTGCCGCCATCTACTCAGAGGCTCCCGGGTCGGGCACCACTGGTCGAGAGCTGCGACGCCCCGCGATCAAGCCCGTCAGTCACTGCGTGTCAACGCCGGTCACCAGAATCCTGGCTGGGGAACCGACATGAGCCCGCTCGCAATGACCGCCCCGCAGACGCCGGAAGTCCCGCCCCCAAAACGACGGAGGTCCCGCCTCGCGCCAACGCCCTCACAAGATACTTTCCTCCCCACCTGGGTCGCCAGGAGAGCCACACATTGCGTCGGCGCAAGAGTTTCTGGGTAATCCTTCCCCGTCACTACTATGACGTGATCAGGGGCCGTCAGGTTCTCACCAGCGCGAAAAAAGTCCCACGCGCGCAGAGCTGTGTTCTGGGAAACAAAGTCCGCGACCTGCGAGCGGATGCCTGGGATTAGGGATTAGTGCGTGCGTGCGTGCGTGGGGTGTGTGTGTGTGTGTGTGTGTGTGTGTGTGTGTGTGTGTGTGTGTGCGCGCGCGTGCGTGGTGTGTGTGTGTGTGTGTGTGTGTCTGGCGATTTCTGGAACTGTGCTTAAATTTTTTGTAATTTTTGAAACAGCCTCACTAAATTGCCCAAACTGAGCTGGAATTTGTGATCCTCCTGCTTCAGTTTTCTAGAATGCCTGGATAAAGGCTACCGAGCCCAAATCTCCAGTGGAAGGCATCATTAAAATCTTAGTCTTGAGATTCTAGCAGCCGAGCCTAGGGGACCTCTGCTGGAGGTGGAAGGCACTGCGGTGTTTGCTACATAGATGAGACCAGACCCAAAAGGAGAGCAGGGTGTAGGTGGAAGGGCCTGGGGTTCTCCAGAATAGAGAAGTCCCTCGCATCTTAGTTTCTCACACAGGCCACACTCTACCCTAGAGAAGTCAGACCACTGCTACTCCTGGGTTCTGCTCTGATCACAGCAAATCCAAAATGGTGACTGCTGCAGCCCTGAGCCAGCCAACAGAAAGGCAGCTCTTGAAACAGGGCACTGTCCTCATCCACTTTACTCACCGGGATCTGGCACCCTGCGACTTGTGGCTCTTCCCCAAAGTCAAAATGACCACGAGACAGGAACAGTTTGAATCCATTCAGGGCATCTAAGCAGCCAAGACAGCTCAGCTGAACACACAGAGGACTGCAGAGCTGCACAAAGTGGCAAGGACATGGGATGAGTGCATTCCAGGTGAGAGGGATTAAGGCAATGTGTCTTGTAATCCAAGTTTGTAAAGTTTATTTATTTTGTAATTTTTATTAGTACAAGTGCACTGCATGACAATTATATTTCTCGGAAGATTGGTGCAAGTACATTGCGCGTCTCAATTCTTTTTACCTCTTTCTGCTTCCTCTCTCTGATTTCCATCTCTCAGTTGCCTTCTCATTTGCAAAAGAAACAAATTTAAACCTTTACCGCGTATTCTAACCACACCGTGCACTTTGGACAGGTTGTCTGGTGAGCACTAAACCACAGCTGTGCTGAGCCTTGCTGTGCTCTGCCCACTGATAGTACCTGAGCCCCATGATGGGCGCCTCACAAGCTATCTCCTGCAGCTGCTCCCATTTTGGGGTGTGTCACTCAGTGCCATCTCTATGCCCTATGGAGTCCATTGTGGATGTATTTGATACTGTTTTTCCTTGTATTTTAACTAGACAAAGTGGCAAATTGTAAATTGTTTGTCTTACCACAATTTTTAAACCTACTGTTTTATAGTCACAGTGTTTTGTGTTTGTGTTTTCAGAATTTAGTTCCAGACTGATAGAAAAATATAGTTGCATAGGTATTACTTTGTGTAATTCCTGCATTCTAAAGATAAATGGAAAATACTATGAAGAAACAGGCAGAAAGTGTACGTTACTGATAAAGGAAGATTATAGTCTATAAAGTAGATTTATAGTCAGGTGGGACTCAAACTGTGAGCTAAGAGCAAGTGTGATTTTTAAAAGGAAAACTTACAAACACTTAACTTAAATGTACGGTCACTGTTACCAGTATACCTAACAGTGGTTAGAGATTCCAGCGCATGTATCAAGAGCTACAAAATTGGATATCCTATTTTCAAAACTGCAAACTGAAAGAAGCCAACCTAAACATACATGTGGATAACAGTTTAGCGAGTTCTGTCCTCCTTGCAGCTCACAGATCACTGGTCATACTTGTGGAGGTTGAGACATAAAAGAATATATCAATAGAACAACACAGGTCAAACCGAACAATTTAAGCATCACTGTGTTTCACCACCAGGTAGCCTGACATTAGTAGTAGTCACCATAGTGTCTCTTTCCTTGAAATATTTGAGTCTAACTTCATATACTATAGCATCAAACTTATCAAGACAGTGTGAAACCATTCAAGAGAATGAAAGTATCGCAGGGTATTTAGAACCAGCTAACAAGAGACCAAACATCAGTTTCTATACTATCTCCTTGCCTATAAAAATTTTTGTTTATACTTTCACATACATTAAAATATAATAAGATACAACATGTTAAAACCAGTGGAAACAGATGAACAACAACTTGATAGGGCTTCAAAATAGGATGATATTGAATCAGCACTAGCTATTATGTTGTCTTATTTTCTTCAAAATAGCTATTCATAGTATCACAGACAATAAAATAGAACAACCCAGATTAGAACCATTCCAATTAGTGAGGGAAAACATTATATGGCTTCAAATCAGTGTGACTGGCAATCATGATTACCACATATATTTATGTATTCTTACCATTTCTTACACTAGGGAAATTATTTGGTATTTATACATGTGAGTTTGATTTATTTCACTTATGAGTATGGCCTCAAGCTGCATCCATTTATTTATAAATATCTCAGTGTGATCATTCTTTATTGCTGAGTAGTACTGCATTGTATAAAAATACCACAACTTTTTTATCCATTCCTGTTGATGGACACTTAGGTTGTTTCCCAGATCTGGCTATTACAAATTGTGCTGCTATAAACATGGGTGCACATATATCACTGTAGTATGATGTTTTCAGTTCTTCTAGCAATATGCCTAGAAATGGAATAGCTGAGTCAAATGGGGCTTCCAGTCCCAGCTTTCTGAGAAATCACCAGACTGACTTCCACAATGGTTGCACTAGTCTACACTCTCACCAACAGTGCAGGAGAGTTCCTTTTTCCCCACAGCCTCTCCAGCATTTGTTGTTGGTGTTTTTCTTGACCTTGGCCATTTTTTCAGTAGTGAGATAGAATCTCAATGTGGCCCAGTGTGGTTGCATTTCTCTAATGACTAATGATGATGAACACGTTTCATATATTTGTTTGACATTTTTATTTCTTCATCTGAAAATTGTTTATTCATCTCAGATGCCCATTTTTGGACTGGGTCTTTGAATTTTGGGGACCTGATTTTTTTTAAATTCTTTATATGTTTTAGACAGAAGTCCTTTGTCTGAGGGGCAGTGCACTAAGATTTTTTCCCAGTTTGTGGGTTTTCTTTTCACTATGTTAGAGATTTCTTTTGACATGCAGAAACTTTTTAATAAGATGTGATACCAATTACTGACTCTGGGAAGTATTTCCCGGGCATTTTGAGTCTTGTTCATGAATTCTCTACCTACCGCTATGTCTGCAAGGTTTTTACCCAATTTGTCTTCCAATATATTTAGTGTTTCTGTTTTAATATTTAGATCTTTGATCCATTTAGATTTTATTTTAGTACATGGTGATAGTCATGGGTCTAGTTTTAGTTTTCAGCATATGGAGAGCCAATTTTTCCAACACCATTTATTAAAGAGACTGTCATTCTTCCAGTGAACAGGTTTGGCTCCTAAATCAAAGATAAGGTGGTTGAGTGTGTTTGTAGTTGTGGTTGCATCTTCTAATCTATTCCACTGATCTTTGGCTCTGTTTTGATTCCAGTACCATGTTGATTTTACTACAGTTGCTTTGTAGTACAAATTCAAGTCAGGGATTGTGATGTCTCCTGCCTTGCCTTAGCTGCTTAGAACTATCTTTGCTATTTTAGGTCTCTTTGTGCTCCAGATGAATTTTAGGAGTGATTTCTCAAGATCTATGAGGTATGTTGATGGCATTTTTATTGGGATTGCATTGAATCTGAATAACAGTTTTGAGACAATGGCCATTTTCATAATATTTATTCTTCCTATCCATGAGCAAGGGATGTCTTTCCATTTTCTGAGATCATCTTCAATTTCATTTTTAAGTGTATTATAATTTTCCCTGTATAGGTCTTTCACTTCTTTCATGAGAATAATTCCTAAATATTTCATTTTTTTGGTTGCTAGTGTGAAGGGTGTGGATTCTCTTATTTCTCTGTGATTTTGTTGTTAGTGTATAGGAATGCTATTGATTTTTAAGTATTGATTTTGTATCCAATTGCTGAATTTATTTATCATATGTAGGAGTCTTTCAATGGAGTTTTGGGGGTCTTCTATGTAGAGTATTATATCATCTGCAAATAGTGATAATTTAGCTTCTTCTTTTCCTGTCTTTATGCCTTTTATTTCTCTCTTGTCTAATTGCTCTGGCTAGTATATCCAGTACTATATTAAACAGGAGCGTGACAGGGGACATCTTTATCTTGTGCCTTATTTTAAAGTAAAGGCCTTCAATTTTTGACCATTTAGTATGACACTGGCTGTTGGTTTGTCAGAGATGGCCTTTATTATGTTGAGGTAAAGACCATCTATTCCACTTTTCTGCAAGGTTCTTATCACAAATGAATATTGTACCTTATCTAAAGATTTTTCTGCATCTATAGAAATGATTGTGTGATTCTTACTTTTGGCTCTATTGATATGGTGAATTACATTTATTGATTTACGTACGTTGAACCATCCCTGCATACCTGGGATGACTCCTACTTGGTCATGGTGTATAATCTTCATGATGATTTGCTGCATTCTATTTGCCAATATTTTATTGAGGATTTTTGTATCTGAGATTGTATCTGAGATTGGTCTGTGGTTCTCTTTTTCAGTTGGGTCTTTCTCAGGTTTTGGTAATAGAATAATATTTGCTTCCATGAATGACTTGGGAAGTATTGCTTCCCTTTCAATTTCATTGCAGAGTTTGAGGAGTGTCGGCATTAGGTCCTCTTTGTATTTCTTGTAGAATTCTGCAGTGACCATCTGGGCCTGGGGTCTTCTTTGTAGGTAATGACTTAATTACATTTTTTATTTTATTAATAGAAATTGGGTTATTCAGCAGTTTTACATCTTCTTGACATAGCTTTGGTACTTCATATGCTTCAAGAATCTATTTCTTCTGTGTTATCAAACATTTGAGAGTAGAGGTTTTTGAAGCAGATGTTGATGATCTTCTGTATTTCTATTGGGTCTGCAGTGATTTCACCTTTTTTATTCCTTATTGCATGAATTTGAACTTTTTGTTCCCCTTTTTAATAAGGTTGGCTAGGGGCTTATCGATTTTATTTATTTTTTCAAAGATCCAACTCTTTGATTCATTGATTCTTTGGATTGTTTTCTTAGTCTCTATCACATTGATTTCTGCTCTGATTTTTATTATTCCCTCTCTTCTTTTAGCTTTGGGTTTGGCTTGCTCTTCTTTTTCTAGATGTTTGAGGTGTAACATCAGGTCATTTATTTATATTTGTTCTGTTTTGCTGATGTGGGAACTCAGTGCAATAAATTTTCCTCTGAGGACAGGTTTCATTGCATCCCACAGATTCCAGTAAGTTGTATTTGTGTTTTCATTTGTTTGTAGGTATTGTTTAATTTCTTCTTTAATTTCCTCTATGACCCACTGATTACTCAAGAATGTGTTAATTCAGTTTCCATGTATTTTTGGTATTTCTGAAGTATCTTTTATCATTAATTTCTAATTGCATAGTGCTATGATCCGATAACATGCAAGGGATAATTTCAACTCTTTTGCATTTATTTAAATATGTTCTGTGAGTTAATATATGGTCTATTTTAGAGAATGACCCATGTACTGCTGAGAAGAATGTGTATTCTCTTGTTAGGCAGAATACTCTGTATATGTCTATCAATTCCATTTGTTCACGGGTGGTTGATCTGTCCATTGGTGTCAATGGTGGGTTGAAATCTGTTATAATTGTATTACTGATAATTTGGTTTTTCATTTCTGATATTACTTGTTTTATGTAACTGGGTGCTCTAGAATTTGGTGCACATATATTTAAGATAGTTATCTCTTCCTATAGAAGTTTTCCCCTAAGCAGTATGTAGTGACCTTCTTTATCTCTTCTGATCATTATTGGTTTGAAGTTCACATTGTCTGCAAACAGAATAGCTACCCCTGCTTTTTGGGGGGTTCCTATTGCATGAAGTATTGTTTTCCATCCTTTGACTTTCAGTCTGTGAGTATCCTTTTGGGTTAGATGGGTTTCTTGTAGACAGCATATGGTTGGATTTTGTTTCTTGATCCATTCTGCCAGTCTATTTCTTTTAATTAGTGCATTGAGACCATTTAGGTTAATGGTTATAACTGTTATATATTGGTTTATTGGTGACATGTTATCTCTCTGCTGTTGCATCTTTGTCTTTCTGTTCTGTTTAATTATCTGCTTTGCTTAGTGTTTTTTTCCTTTGTGTATCTAAACTGTCTTTCAATATTTTTTGCAGGGTTGGTTTGGTGTTCATGAAGTTCTTCAGCTGTTCTTTGTCATGGAAGTATCATATTTCACCATCAATTTTGAATGATAAAGCCAGGATCTCATACTCTCCCAAGGATTGGATGTTGTGTAGTCAACCAGCTCCTTGGATGGCAAAGCTCCCCAGGCTGATAGTGGGTCCCCCTATGGCCTAGGTAGGCCTCAAACCTCCTTAGCAGGGCTGCTCCCTCCTCCATGCAGTGGCAGTAGTGCTGGTGCTGTCCACGTCAAAAGAAGGTCGCAGAAGAGACTGGAGCAGGTTCCAGAGGCTTGGCCCAGCTCCCTCCTTCCAGCCGGCAGCTGTGGTGCTTTCCCCGGGTGGAAGAGGGGCCGGGCAGGGCTGGACCAGAGTCCCTCTTCTTGGCTGTGCCCTCTCCTTCCCGTTTTTATTCTTTTAATTTTGTAATTTTAACAACTATTAATAGGATGACAATATGTAATGTGTCAACTAGCAATTTTATGATGTTAATTTTTTTAAATTCTGTATTATTCTACTTTTTTCTTTTTTCTATTTTGTTTTTTCTTTAATTTTCTTTTCTCTTTCTTTAAATAAAAACATTGGAAAAAGTAATATATAGGGTAGTCCCTGCAGACACTTAAAAAAGGTAGAGCACAAATTAACATTCAGTGTCATCCAAGAAATGATTCAACCCAAAGTCTTTCATTTTCTGAGTGAATTACTCAGATACTCTTGAGATAATAATCAGGGAGTTGTCTAAAGTCCTGTTTAAAATCAGGTCTTTGGGAATCAGACTCTTTCTGGTGTACACAGGGAAGGAATAATGAAATAAAAGTGCATAATTGCCCCAGATTCCCACTCCAATCTGTGTAAGGAAGAAAATCCCTATAGCCAAGTTCCCAGAAATCATTTTCTGTCTCATTTCTGTTTAGGGTCAACAGATTCAGGCAAGAAAATTACAAGTTTCTGTTATTTGTACTAATGTGGCACAGATTAAAATAGTCATCCCTTCCTAATTTTTATAATTATTGACTGAAGTGAATATATATCAAAGGTTGATTCTTTATTTCCAACAGTATTTTATGTATCTCTCAACAGTGTTGCATATATTTAAGGAAAACAATGTTTGAGATAATTACTAACAACTTTTAAAATTTTTTCCCATTAATTCAAATGATTGTCAAATATATGAAGCAATATTTGATTATTCTATTTCATAGTCTTTTTCAAAAATTAAGGAGTATGTTTATAATCTGGTTTCTTTCAACAATAAATACAACATCCATCAATAAATACCACACATATATGAAAAAACTGATTAATGTATTTGTTTAACAATACTTTGATAAAAGCTTTCTGTTAAGATTCAAGATTTGTTCTACAGCAGGATGTTTGAAAATAAGAATACAATAATTATTGAAAAACCACTTATGCAAAAGTGTTTTCATGTCTGGAGCTTTGGGTTACCACTAGAGACATGGTTAAATCCAAATCAACTCAAAAGGCAACCAGCCCCAAAGAAGGCCCAGAGAAGCATCCAGAAAAGCCCATCACAGAGACAGGAATCTGCTAAAGTGTAGACCCCAAGTACTTGATGGACATGCATTTTTCCCAGAAGCACAAGAAATACCTGATGTAGATGCAGACAAATGAGGTCAAGGACAGAGGCACCCATGCTCAAGTTATTAAGGTCCCCTAACATCTCAAGGAAGTTACACTCAAGATCCCAAAGTGTCAGCTGCAAGCTTGATCAAGTACCCTACATCCCCTACTCTGCTCAGCAAGCAAGCCCATGTTCATATTTCCAGGAGTCTCAGATTCTACCAGCCAAGAGGAAGACCTGTGCTCAACCCTACAAGTGCCAAGCAGCAGTTCTGGTTCCCTCACAGGCTCACAAAAGTGCCCAGTACTCCATGACTCCTCCACACTACAGGTCTGTCTGCCAATGTGAAGACAGAAAGGCTCATCTCAGTCTGCATGAGGCTGATGTCCTTCTGTGAGGTTCGCACAAACATACCTGAACCAGGAAAAAATGTTATCCGATAGTCAGTATCACAGGAAGTTAAAATGAAGCAAAATGAGTGCAAAGAATAAAATATCATTTTAAATCTAATTGTATATTTCTCACATTCAATTAAGGGAATCAGAACTAGAATTCATAGAAAGGTATAATATTTTCCAAGAAATAAGTATAAAATGTATTGCACTGTAACCTGTGAATGTAAATTTAAATGTATATTTTAAAATTTAAGAATTTAAATAAAGTTTATACCTAAACAAAAATATTGTCTTAGAACTTGAAAAGATTAAATAAATTGAGTCATATTACTAGATATGAACTATATTTATGGAAATAAGTAAGATTTTTCTAACTTGTACTCCACATTAAAGGAAATTTTAATAATTCCCAGAGAAAGTTTAAAAAAATTTCTCCTGAAATTCACACAACTAGGATTTAAAACTTTAAAAGACTAATTGAAGAACATAAAATACTTACAAATCATGTCTGATAAAATAATAATATCCAGAATACATATAAAAATCTTGTAAAAAATCACAAAATAGATTTAAATGGGGAGAAGACTTCAATATATTTCTCCCTAAAAGATAGACAAATTATTTCTGAGATCAGAATCTCTGAAATAACTACAGCAGTTATTCTGAAATAATTCTGAAATAATCTCCGAAATAACTACAGAGGTTACCAGAATATACACCATGCTTAGTGATGACAGAACAGACACAGATTAAAAAAAATTTTTGCTTAGGCAAATCATGGAAGTGCAGCATAGGAAGCAAATGGAATCTGTAAAGCAGATTCAAGCAAATATCCAGGAAAATAAAAACTCCACTGAAAGTGTTCAAAGCACATTAGGCCAATGTGAGGACAGGATCTCAGACAGGCTTGAAGTTAGCAATGAGGAAAAGAAAGACTTCTCAAAAATAGCAAAGCCATGGGGAATCAATCCAGCAGCTGCTAGATGAGACAAAGAAGAACTTAAGATTACTTGGAGTCAATAAAAAAGCAGGAGATACCACAAATGACATTAAAAACATGTTCACAGGCATTATGACAGAAAATTTTCCTGGTAGAAAAAAAGAATTTGACACACAAATAAGTGAGGCATACAGAACTCCAATTAGCAATGAACAAAAAAATCCACATCCAGGCATATTGCAGTCAAGATTTCAGAAATTCAACGTAAGAATAGACTCTTAAAGGCAGAGAAAAGGAACAAATCACCTATAAAGGAAAATCCATCAGAATACAGATGACTTCTCAGCACAAACTCTCAAGTCAAAGTGACCTTGGAATGAAGTACTCAAGGTTCTAAAGAAAAAAGCTTTCTACCCAGACTGATGTATCCAGAAACTCTCAAAATTGATGGAGAAATAAGATACTTCCATGACAAAAAACATCTGAGGAAATTTATGACCACCAAACCAGCCTTCTAAAATGTTCTGAAGGACATTCTAGAAAGAGATAATAAGGACTACAGCTCCATGAACCCCAAAAGAAAGAATACACCAGGAAAGGCAAACAATTAAATGGAAGGAAAAAATGGGGTAAATAACATGACAAGGATACGTCAATATACATCAGTTTTAACCATCAATGTTAATGGTCTCAATTCACCAGTTAGAAGATACAGACTAGCCGGGCGTGGTGGCTCACGCCTGTAATCCCAGCACTCGGGAGGCTGAGGCAGGAGAATTGTTGCAAGTTCAAGACCAGCCTAGGCTACAAAGTGAGCCCAAGACCAGCCTGAACCGTACAGCGAGACCCTGTCTCAAAAAGACAAAAAAAAAAAAAAAAAAGATACAGACTGGCACGGGATTTAGCTCAGTGGCATAAGCACCTGCCTGGCAAGGGCAAGTTCAATCACCAGGAAAAAAAAGACACAATCTGGCAGAATGGATCAAGAAGCAAGATCCAATAATATGCTGCATATGTAAACACATTTAATTGAAAAAGAAATTCATAGACTGAAAGACAAAGGATGGAAAACAATACTCCATGCAACAGGAATCAGGAAAAACCAGGGGTAGCTATTCTATTTGCATACAAAGTGAATTTCAAGCCAAGACTGATTAAGAGAAATAAAGAAGGTCACCACATCCTTGTAAAGGGAACAATGCAAGAAGAAGAGATAACAAGCATAAATTTATATGCAACAAATACCAGTGCACCCAGATATATAAAACAATTACTAATGGATATGAAAAAACAAGTAAACCTTACTACAATTGTACTGGGAGACCTCAATACCCCACTATCACAAAAAGACAGATCAACTAGACAAAAAAATCAATAATGAAATATTAGAATTAAATCAAACTTTTATGCAAATGGTCTGAGTAGGTGTCTACAGAGTATTCCAACCTACAGCATCAGAATACACATTCTTCTCACCTGCACATGGGACATTCTCCAAAATATGCCCTGCTTCTTTCAGCCCTTCTGTCCATGTTGTTGTGCTTCTTTCAGACAGAGACAAAGGACTGTTCTCATGCACTATTCACTCCTCTGGTCCTTGCTCAGCCTTCTGTGTTCCTCTTCCACTGACAAGTCTCTGTCCTCTCAGGTGGTTTGTTGCAGGGTGCAGTGGGATGCCTTGTGGCCCTCTGCTTCTGCTGTTGCTGTCCAAAGTTAGTCCCTATTCTTACTACTCTCCCAAAAGGGCAGTGCTAACTTGCCACTTAATGCTTTTCGAGGTCCATTTCCGCCATCACCTGCTTTTGCTGTAATCTGTAACTTTGTTGGTGAGTCATTGGGTTGCTTTCTGCTCCTGCTCCTGTCCCGGGGGTGGGGATGGCCTCAGGGTGCACAGCCCCATGGAGCAAGGCTGTTTAATTTCCATACCTCTCTAACCACAGGTTACAGGGGAGAGGTTAGCTGCTCCATTTTCTACAAACCCCTGTAGTCTTCAGCCTTGTTCCTAGAGGTTCAAATTAGTGCTCTAGTGTGGAAATGGGAAGAAAAGAAAAAGAAAAGGAAAAGGAAGGGCTGGAGATTTAGCCCAGTGGCATAAACACCTGCCTTACAATCACACAGTCATGAGTTTGATCCCCAGTACCAAAAAAAAGGAAAATAAAAAAGGAAGACTGGTCAATCTTCAGGGAGGGGGCAGTTCACTCACTCCCTGTTCATCTGTCTGTTCATGTGTTGTACACAGCAGAGTTCATTGCTTGTTTGTAGCATCTTATGCTTGGAGGAAATTAGAAGAGGCATGACCTTATATCCCAAGTCTATTCTGTATTGCTTGATTTAACCACAGTATTTTAGTATATCCTATTTTCTTTTTTTTAACATTTCAAGTGTGACAAGCAGCCATTCCAATTTGGCTACCTGTTGGCAGTATGTGGACTGGCTGGCCATTTCATTGTCCTTAATATGTATTTTGCTTAACTTATGAGTCTCTTTTTTTCAGATTGGGTGTGGTTTCAGGGTATATATCCTCCCTTTTTCCCAGTTACCCAAGTTTTAGTTGAATTTCTCTGAGTAGCTCTAAATGAGGCGCCTCCTCTATTCAGCCATGTTGTCTCAGCTGGAATACTTAAGTGAACAAACTGCCATATATCACTTTCTCTTGACCTCTACATATTTTAATAGAGTGAGAATGTAAATAGAAAGTATAACCAGGAAATTACATGATATACTGTCAATGGAAAAGCACATACAAACAGTGATATGAATATGTATTCACACCCTTTATGTAGTCCCAGGGGCCAAAGAGGAAGTGTCTGATGTAAGGGGAACATTTCTGGATCCAAGTTTCTCATGAATCCTCTGGTGACGATTGTATGTAGATGACTGGCGGAAGCTTCTGTGGCAATGGGTACATTTATAGGGCTTCTCTCCTGTATGAATTCTTTCATGAGCCCGCAGGTTTGTCTTGTGTGTAAAGGACTTTCCACATCTGCTGCATTTAAAAGGCTTCTCTTTCTTGTGAGTCATCTGATGCACACGTAGATCTGATGTCTGGAAGAACCTTTTGTTACACTCAGCACAAACAAATGGTCTCTCATTCCTGTGTCTTCTTTGGTGGGCTAGGAAATGAGAGAGATACTTAAAGGTCTTGGGACATTCCTCACATTTGTATGATTTGGGCGATTCATGGAATCTTTCTTGGGATTCCTCACAGGCAGAGTTTCCTTCACTGCAGTGGTGATTAGAGACTGGCTCAGAGGAGGATTGATGTGGCAGAGAGGAAGATCCTGGTCCCACATCCATAGGGACATCTTGGTAAGAAGGTCCTTTCTGGGACTCTTCTTGCAATCCACATATGACTGGCCTTGCTTTTCTGGAGCTGTGTGTATTCTCCCAAGAAGCACTTTCCTCTACAGGTGTAGGATCATTTGCTTCTGGAATAATGAGCAGGGAAACTATTTCTTTTCCTGGATTGGTAATATAGTCATTTACTTGAGTTACTTCCCAGGAACTAGTGCAGCCATCTTCTTCATGTTCATTTCCTGGAAATCAAGAAGTCACTCAGTGAAGTTGTATCCCAAAAGGGTCCATCTAGAACACCTCTATGATGTACATATTCACATGGCTTACCTTGTCTTGTTCCCAAAGGAGCATTTTGGGAAACCTGGTGGGCTGTGCCCATACCTGCTGTAAAGGTTTTTGCTGATGACTGTTTCGTGAGATGAGCAATGACTTCTTTCAAGGGCATATCCTCAGAGAACAGTGCTTCCTGTCCCTGCATGCAGACATGGACCTGTAAACAAAGCCAGATCAGCCTGTATATGCATCTGTTGTGTCACACAACCTTTTCAAAACACCTGCACTTAACAAGCATTCACATGATTTTTGGCTATTGGTGTCTTGATGGTGTCATTCTCTCTGATGGTGTCATTCTCGATATTCACAAGTTGTTGTGATTCTAAAGTCACAGAGTGAAAACATTACAGCATTGTTCCTAAAGAATATGCAAGTTTCCTGTGAAATTCTAGTCATGCTATTCTCTTCAAATGATAAATACATAACCTTGTTTTATATGTACCTATTTAAAGATGTTGTGTTTAATGTCTTCTTGATTAGTTAATATGAACTCATGGCTTATAGCCCTTTAACTCATCCTGCATGAAATGTATCCAACACATATACTATCTCCATAAGGTACAAACCCAAAAGTTTCTTTCACTTAGAAATTCTGCTAGAAAGGATTTCAGTACTATACCTGGGCGCCATTTTAAATAAAATTATGACCAAAAAATGAGAATGTGACAATTCTTCTCAGTCTACAAACTAAACAATGTGAAGTATGCCCTTGTGCAGCCCAACCATCTAGGAATGTGTACAATCAGGCATTCAAGATTTTTTTCCTCACACTGCATGTTTACCAGTGACTGAGGGTGTGCCTCAGGTACTGATTTTGACATTACAAGTATACGGCAATTTTGAAAATCAGGATTCTAAGAAAGAAGGTCCTCTGTAATCACTAGTATATCCTTTCTAATTAATAAAATTATATTGTGGTCCCTTGAGGCATGAACCAACTCTTGTCCAAAGCAGTTTTTTTCATCTTTGAGGTTTCTGCTCAAATGTTTGTTTTACATAAAGTCTGTAAGTATACCAAATAAATTAGCCCCATAAAATTAATTTGGTTGATATATATACCTTTCTGCTTTTCCTTGATAACTTAGAGCAGCAGAAATTCTTGATGAGGAAGAGTGGGTGGGGAAAGTGTGATCTAATAACTGGATCTGCAATAACTTTTTGTTTACTTTCTGGTAATTCTGAATGACTGTACTTATTTTTTTCCCACTTTCTCCCCACATCAGACCATTTACTTACTAACACAGGTGGCTTCATACAATCATCTGTCAAGTCTTCCAGTAATTTCTCCAGGTTTTTACCACTTGATTCCCATTTCTTTTTCAATATAGACTTGTCCCTGCAGCGGCCACTAAGCATAAACTGCTCCATGGCTAACTGAGCAATAATCTGATCCTTGCTATGATTTTCTGGCTGCAACCATGAGTGAAAAAACTCATACAGTCTTTGTAGTTCCTTCCTTGCTTCTGAGTTATCACTGTATTGCAATGAGTTGAGTTGAATGCTTGAGAATGCAGAGATCTCTCTCTTTGGGACAGCAAAACCTTGGGTTGATGAAAATTCTAGATCTTCTGATTCAAGGTTATTTGAGGAGAGTTCTTGGCAAAATGATTTTCTGAGATCTAAAGCCATTCTCAGACTCAACTTCAATGGTTCAGTCGCCGTTATCTCGTATGTTCGGTGAATCTACAACTACTGCTGGATGATTACAAGCTGTAAGCTAGAAATATAAGAGACATTTAATTAGAGACAAACAAGTCAAACAGAACTTCAGGACCACATAGCCTCATGGATCAATGCTCAAATTTTTTTTAAAGAGAGCAGCTAACTTTGCTCAAATTCTACTAAGGCAACATCACTTATTTTCATTAATGTGGTCAACACTTCCCAGAGAAGGAAATTTTACAGCTATATTAAAATAATCCACAAAAACCATCTCAAATAAAATTCAATCCTATGTAAGAAGAACAATAATATGTCACTAAAAATGAAGTTAATTTTCAAAATCAAGAAATGTGGGTTAAAAATTAAAGCCACCTTGATTTACTATGTTATTGGAATATAAAGAAATATGATGTAACCGTCTCAGTAGTATTTCAAAAATGAATGTTAGTACTCATTCTTAAGGTGTTCTGTAAACATTAGAGACCATGCCTTCCATTATCCCTATGAGACATTAGACTACTCTCTAACCAACTCAGTGAAGAAAATCTATAAAATGTCATTTGCATAGTCCCAATTTTGTTTACAGAACAACATTCAACAAAGATTAACTTCAGTGAATTTAGCAAGGTGACCAATACAATACCAGTTTATTTAAAAATAAACTGATTTCTGTATTACTGTGCTATCATTGCAGTGTTTTAAAAACTTTTTCATTGATCTTTGCATTAAGCATCAATATCTAAGAACAATTATTAAAAAATACATTCAGTATTCTTACAAACTATAAACTATGAATGAATATATTGTATCAACCCTTACCACGCTGTAACTTTCTTTCTTCCTTGCTTGCTTTCTGTCTTTGTCTTTTTGAGACAGGGTCTCTCTATGCAGTTCAAGCTGGCGTTGATCACACTGTAACCCAGGCTGGTCTCAAACTCCTAATGATGCTCCTGCCTCAGCCTCCTGAACTTTGGGGTTACAGATGTGTACCACCATGCCTGGCTTACCCTGCCATTTTCTTAAGGCATTTATTATAGAAATTGTCTGTTTATTTGTATGCACTGTCTGGAAGTACAAAACTATATTGTGTAAAGCTGCGCATGGTGGCTCACACCTGGCTATTGGTTACACATACCTTCTCTCTGGACCCCAGGACTTGGGAGACTTATGCAGGAGGATTGTTGAAAATTTGAGAGTATCCTGGGCTACAAAGCCAGCTCAAGGCCACCCTGAACTGCACAGCGAGACCCTGTCTCAAAAAGACAAAAAACAAAAATCAAAAACAAAAACAAAATCCATTACATAGTCAACATCATTTAGGATGTGGGAGTTGGTTTTGACATAGGGGTTTGCTTTGTTATTTAGGCTTCACTTGAACTCAGATTTTCCTACCCAAGCCTCACAACTGTCTGGATTTTAGGTGTGCACTTGGATGCTCAGATTGACATGCCATTTGAGGCAATATTAAAGATTAGAAAAAGCTTTCTAAGAGGCTGCTATCTCCCTTATGCAATGAGTGTTCCTAAGTATATAGATTTCCAGTGTTTAACTGATACTATTAATATTCCCTGGAAAGTAATTACATAGAACAGCTAGCTCTTCCCCATAGTATACTTACAATTTTCATAGTTTATGTATGTGCATTAGATTTAAATGAAAGGTGTCCATTCAGTATAGTAAATGTGGTTTGAAAATTTAGCTGTGGTCTTTTTTTATTTTTTAAAGAGATTAAGATAAAAGCTGTGATCTTGAACTTTTATTTGAAATCACTAAATAAAGGCCATGATCTGGGGTTAATATGTCTGTATCACCCATTTGTCTATTTCAGGGACAGAATAGCTCAAAATTTAAAAAGAGGAGACTTTTGCTCAGGCTCACACTTTCAGAAGCTTAAATTCACTGCTGACTGACTCCAAAGCAGGAATGCCATCACTGTGTGGTATGCGGTGGCTCATGCCTGTAATCCCAGTACCTAGGAGGCTGAGGCTAAAGGATCCTTGCAAATTCAGGCCAAGCTGGGTTACACAGTGAGTTCAAGGCCAGACTGAACTACAAAGACCCTGCCTCAAAAAACAAAACAAAAAAAGAAAAAACAAGAAAGTAAGAAAGAAAGAAAAAAGCAAGAAAGAATCATTGCCAAAGGGACTGACAGGAAGAGCCCAAGAGCAAAGATGGAGGAAACCCACAGTCCCCAAAGACACACCCACATAAACCACTCAGAAACACCCACGTGTGTGTTCCTTATTCCATTCAGGTTGGGAATCAGGATTAACCATCTCATATTTTTAATTATAAGAAAATAAAATATTAGAAAAAATAGATAACTCACAATAGAAAAAATATACAATTTTGACTCTCAATTGATACTTGAATAAAGAATATGTGGAAATATCTATATTGATAGAGGTATATACAGTAGAAGAGGAGTCAGCCTTTGAAAAAGACATACTACCTTTTCCACATCATGGACCAATCTTGAATACCTAAGCAGACACACAAAGAAAACTATATTATGCAGTCTCATGTATATGTGGAATCTTTGAACTCATAGAAACAGAATGGAAATGTGGTTGTAGGGTTTGAGCATGAGTGATACGGAGGAATGTTTGTCAGAGTGTCCCCATTTAAACTCTAAGATGAGTAAGTCCTGGGGACCTTGTGTCAGTATGGTTGTTATGGTGATCTCCTGTATACTTTAAGTTTGCTAAAAGAATGGATTTTCAGTGTTTAACCACAGACTAAAAAGGGTACTGAAGTGATAAGTAAACCAGCTTGGTTGTGATAATCACTTCACAACGCGTCTGTACATTAAATATTGTCATATTGTTACAGGCAGTTGAGTTAGATAGAAATATTACAGGCAGTCAGACAGGACCAGGCCCTTGAGGGAGCCAGCACAGAGGACCAAATGTCTTGTGACCTTGGAGGAGAAAGACACCTCCTGCTGTGGGCCAGATCTCAAGACAAAATGCAAAACAAATGCAACCACATGGTAAGTATAAACATCAGGGATTGATACTCTGAATATTTATGGATCAACTTGAGGAAGCCAGGAGCCACCATCCCAACCTCCTAGAGAAAGAGACACTTTTCTTTAAGCATGCCCACTTCCTATGTGACTCACTTCCCCATTTGTCCCTGATTTAATCAATTTTACCTGAACAGTTAATCTTATTGGTTATTGGCAATGCACTTGGGACCCTTTCTTTCTCTCTCAGACAGATTCTTTCTTTTAATAAATATATTCTGCTCAGGGCCAAGGATTTAGCTCAGAGGCTGCCAGGTAAGTGTGAGGTTGCAAATTCCATCCCAAATACCGCCCCCCAAATCACACCTTTAAAAAATGGAATTTCAGTGTCAAAAATAAGTATTTCTGCTCAACAACTCCATTGTTCCTAAAATTCATTCTTACATTTTAGTGAACACGAACTCATACTGGACATCTAGTAGGTTGGAGTTTCATTCCCCTATATCAGTATCATTATTATTAGATCCCCCATCTGAGAGACAGCACAATCATCATGGCAATGGTTCAAAGCTGTGCCATGATAATGCACATCTCCTTCTTCCCAGAAGCCCCTATGGCTTCTCCCTCTAAAGTCTGCCAGGCTCAGGAATGTAACGGTTTACCCAATCCCCTGCACTCTCACAAAATAAGTCAGCTCACATCGGTACCCAGAGCACTGCCCCATAGAGCCTCTATCAGACAGAACCTGCCCTTTGTCTATAGAGAGCTGCCACAGCCTTCATTGTGGTGACTCCTTCCATGCCCTTCCCACTAATTAAAGTTTTTTTACCTGCTTGCCTCCTACATTCTGCACTGCTCTAGATCTAGTACAAATCACTCAATCAGTTGGTACCATTGACTCCAGCAGTTGGAGTCTGTGTGGCTCCTGGGGAATCTGTCCCCCCCGTCTGAGCTCCCCTCTGGCCTATGGACCTTTCCCTTCTGCTCCTCCTTTTCTCTCTCTCTCTCTCTCTCTCTCTCTCTCTCTCTCTCTCTCTCTCTCTTTCTGGGACTAGGGACTCCTCTGCTTTGCAGTTTCTAGCCAACATCCAACATCAGCCTTCATCTTGTCAGGTCCAAGGTGAGCCTCCCCTCTGTTCTACTCAGGGGTGCCTGTCTGAAATCGTGGCCATGTTAGGATGTCCCCTACATCCCTCTGGAACCTCTATGTTCTCTGGGACTCCCACATGCCTCCTCTTCTGATGACTAGAAAGGTCTACACTCTAGTAGGTCCTTTTGGGCTTCCTTGTGTCTTCTTTGGTGAGGACTAGAGAAGTTATTGTTGGGACTATGCTACTACTGGTTGTGCTTCACTGAAGGGTGATGATTCTCCACTGATTCACAACCCCCAGCTCTAACCCAATTCTTTCCCCTCCTCTATCTCCCCTTCCCCATCATACTTGATCCCTGTGTCCTCCTAAACTCTCATTTCATTTCCCAAGCAGTATCAAACACTCAGTCTAAATTCAAAACATCAGACCTTGATTCTCAATCCCCCCAGGGAGACCTCTTACCTATGACTTTCCATGTCTTTAACAATAGAAAATGACCTTAAAAAGGTTGCATTCCAGGCTGAAACTCTAATGCCAATTTATGGCCACAGCAGTTACAGCTGCAGTGAGTGGCACCCAGAGCTTGAGATAAAACACAGACTGCAGAAAAAAATCTAAAAACCCAATCCCCCCTCCCACCATCATCATGCTTCATGTGCAGCAGAAAAATGACACTGGACACGAGCATGCCATGACATGTGGCCACAACTAGGTACTTGGCCCATCTGCAAATAAGAGGGCCACTGGAAGTCCCACTGCCCTGTCCACCAGAGAGCAGGTAAGTCATCACCTTCCCTGCCCTCACAGGATAAGACACTGCAGCCTGGGACTCATCACTGGCTGATCTGCTCAGTATCGCTGCTGAAGACTGATGTCTTCATCAGGGCCCATGGTCTCACTGAGGTCTCTCTCTCAAGAGTCCTGAGTCTCGCTGGACATATCAGGTTAAC